TGCTTTTTCTCAGTATTTTTTGGGCGGAAACTAAGTTAAGGTCTTAATACTATATGTATATATACTATGTATATGTATATATACTATATACATATATATATATATATATATATATATATATATATATATATATATACACATACACACAGGGTATCTCAGATCACCTTCACAATCTCTCATGAGGACGTAGAGCGGATTGAGATAAACACAATAGTCCCATACCGTTTTGCGATATTCGCAATAATAATCGAAATATTAAGAAAATTGATGAATGATCACGCGCAATATTTTTTTTTATTACAGAATATAAAATAATACACCCATACAACACAGCAACGTTGCAGCATCATTGTTTTGCGATATTGTGGCATTGCAACAACGTTGCAAAATGTTGCTGCAATGCTATTGCAACGTTGCAGCAACGGCAAAATGTCCGCTTGCGGCAATATAACAACGCAACTGTGTAGCAACATTGCAATGCAAAATATATATAATATAATATTATTAATATGTTATTAGACAAAGTAAAATCTCAAATAACACCCTTACAGGAATATTATACCAATAAATACTAAAAAATTATTAGTGATTATATATTACCAGTAATTCAGTAATTTTTTCGTCAGTATTTAATTTCTGGTGAATACTGATAATAAAATCACTATTAAATATTGATAGTAATCAAATACTGAGAAATATTGTGCGAATGTGAAAAATGAGAAAATTATAATATTTAACAAAATATATTTATAATTTCTAATTTTCTTATGTCTCATAAATTACTAGATATCGAAGATTGTTAATACACACTCCAAACTTTCGTAAATCCTCCCTCGATAATTTCGATCCCAAGCAATATACCACCGGTCACTCATCTATGTCCTGACTCGTTAAAGTGTTGCTTAAACCTGACGATCGAGCTGCACGCGGCGATTCCCAATGACTCCAACAACATTCTTACAATTTGTGTTTATATAATTTATCCTTATAGTGTTCACAGTATATTATAACATATCTAGCAAACACCAAATAATAGTTATATAACTTTTACTTGGTGCTTATTGGATAATTTACTGATAGATATTGAAACAACGCAACAACATTCGATATACGATGAATATTGATGTAATGTAATGAACCAGTGATAATTACTTTTAGATTTTTAACAGAATGTTATAATGATTACTCCAAACTAAAAAAAAAAATAAAAAATCCAAGAAAATTCAAATTAAACAAATCGAATTACTAAATTTTGAAAGGAACTTTTATAAAATACTATTTTAAACAACAAATATTGTTGTTTCATCAAATGACATGGTTTCCTTGAACGAAATAAAAGTTTTTATTTTCATCATTTCAAAAAATGATATTTCGTTTAAAAATATAATATTTTAATGAAACAAAAAACCACAAAATTAAACAAGTACGAATATTAAATTTAAAAAAAGTATTTTCTCCGAAAACGGGAGTTTAAATAAGAAGTTTAAGAAATATGTAATAAGATTAATTCTAGTATTAATAACTGCCACTAACAAGTACTATTCTGAGTACTATTCTATAAGCACTATTGATGTGAAATATCACTAAATTTGAAATATAAGTAACAAAAATAACTAGTAAATAAATAAAAAATATTATATTATATTCGTCATATTTTTTAAATAGTGTTGCAATATTGCTACAGAGTAATATTGCAAATTAATGTCACTGCAATTTTTCTGCAACATTGCACTATAATATGCAATCTTGAAACGTTGTAGCAATGTAGCTGCAAGCTTCTGTGCTGTTATGGGCAGTGGTTGAGAGAAAATCTCCCATACGCCTTCTACAACCAGTATCATGCGCGATATTGTAGAAGAGCTGAAGTGGCGCAATCTGGGATTAGATTACAGCCACATCCACGTTGTTGATCCTAGATAGCTCCAAAAGCGGTTTACACAGTCAGGAAACGATAGTACCATTTTTCGTTCTTCTGACCCAAATATGTCAGAAACTATTGATTTTACAAAAAGTCATCAAGATACGAGAGATGTTCATTTAGATTAGCTCAATCTAAAAGTGCAATAAAAAATGGGAATTTCCATTTAAGAAATTGAAGATGACCGTCACGTGATCTTCAAACGACTACACAATGTCAAAGCAATGCCACCGTTTTACGTCCCTCTCTAAATCATATGATTTTTGTCTAAACAATTTTTTTGTCACTTGTTTCGTTTTCAAGATATTCCACTGTTAAGATTAAAATGACTCACCCTGTATACAGTGTTTCACTTTAAGTCATATGGTCGATTATCTCGCAAATCGATGATTTGATTGAAAAATTTTCCCAACGAAAGTTGCATGACTTGAAGGGGGACACATGATGAAAATGTGGACTTGACCTTGAGTAACCTTGTCAAAATCAGGTCAAGGTCATTAATGTTTTTTTAAACAGAAACCCCTATTCTTTATTACATATTCTTGTAGCTTATCGCAAGAGCTTTCCAAAACACAATAATAAAGTTACGTTTCATTGAGTACTTTCCGAGTTATGGAGCTTGAAAATTACAATACCGCCGACGTTATTCATGTACGCATGCGCCTGTGAGCAGGATTTTTACGCGCGCGCGTTTCCGCGATCTATCCGCATTGCTTGACATACGCTCACGCGCACGGAATTGAATCCTATCCTTCCCAATTGAACGATTCAACTTTCCTCTTTTTTTCGTATAGCTTTTTGTTTTTACCTAAGTGGGTTTTTTCAAAGCTTTTTTCAAAATGGCCGCTTACAGTTCAAGTAAAATCGTTGATATTATTCTTGTGCTTGGTGAAGGTGGACGAAATTATTATAGAGCAGAAAGATTGTATCATAACAGATATCCGTTAGACGACATTCAAATGCAATGTAGATAAGAAAAATTTTATTACGAGAGCGTAGAAGAATCCGTAAGAGAAACCGCAAGCAAATAAATGCTGAAGATGACGTTAATGATCCGTGTGTATTAGCAGCAATGGTAAACTTGAATCGTTATATTTCGACTAGAGAACTGCAATGTAATTTAGAAATTCCTTATGTCACTGTGTGGAGGATTTTACAAAGACATAAATTCCATCCCTACCATATCACTTTAACCCAAGATGTAAGTGAAAATGATATGAGGCTAAGAAGACAATTTTGTCTTTGTTTGGGCATTACGAATGATAAGAGAAGATCCAACTTTTTTCTAGTATGTTATCTTCGGTGAAGCCTCATTTCATAACAATGAACAACTCAACAGGTATAACTGTATTTATTGGTCCACATACAATCACTGGACTCAACGTGTTGATAATCAACATCGTTGGAGTTTAAGCACTTAGTGCGGAATTGTAAATGGATATTTGATTGGTCCATACTTTTTTGATAACCGCTTAAATGGGGAAACTTACCTTTCTTTCTTGCAGAATAAATTGCCTGAGCTTTTAGAAGAGGTTGATCTTGCTACTCGACAAAAAATGTGGTGACAGCAAAATGGTGCGCAACTCCATTCTCATCGTATTGTGATAGAATATCTCAATAACATCTTTCATGAAAGATGGATACGGAAGTATGGATATATTCGATGGCCTCCACGATGATCTCCTGATTTAACTTCGTGTGACTTTTTTTTGTGGGGCTACATAAAAAATATTGTTTAAAAAACTCCGCCGACATCTGCAGGAGACATGAAATATCGAATAACTAATGTTTGTCGTAACATTCCTCAAAATATTTTAATTTCAACAGTAGAAAATTTTGAGAAACGGTTGAGGCTATGTCTGCAAGAAAATGGAGCTTCATTTGAACATCTTATCAATGGCTAAAGACATATTCGATTTGATCTTGCTTTAGTTGGCCGGATCAGTGATCGGTCTTGCCTTAGTTGGCCGGATCAGTGATCGGTCTTGCCTTAACTTTCAAGCTCCATAACTCGGAAAGTACTCAATGGCGGGTGTATATCAGTTGGACACGGGGCAATTGGACACAGTCCAATCATAAGTCGCTGTTCCAAGGGACCCTACAAATGTCTCTAATCACACGGTGCTGTGATTGGCTGTGTCCAAATGCACCGTGTCCAAGTGCCCCGCTCCCCTCAATGGCACGTAACTTTATTATAGTGTTTTGGAAAGTTCTCGCGATAAGCTACAAGAATATGTAATAAAAAATAGAGGTTTCTGTTTAAAAAAACATTAATGACCTTAACCTGATTTTGATAAGGTCACTCAAGGTCAAGTCCACATTTTTATCGTGTGTCTACCTTCAAGCCATGCAACTTTCGTTTGAAAATTTTTTCAATAAAATCATCGATTCATTTGCGAGATAATCGACCATATCACTTAAAGTGAAACACCCTGTATATTATAAAACTTTCGTATCAATATTTGGAGAAGGGACGACATGTACATGCACCTGTACCACTATGTGTTGTACCGTACCTGAGCGCGCGTACTTTAATATAACCAGTATAATTGTATTTAATCGTTTATAATTTGAAAAGTATTATAGCCTCGTCATTTTTGTATTAGAATTTTCTTATTCAAATTACTTCAGGAATCCGCCCTTAAGAGATAATGCGATAGTGACGGGACACCCCTTATAGAAAT